GGAATGAGGGTGGAGTGGGCCGCGGTCCGTCCACCGCAGGGGGTGCGCAGGCACAACCCTCCCGCAAGAAGCCGGCAGCCCATTCCTCATCAGAGGACAAGCATCCCTGCCCCCAGCAGCGCCCCCCACCCCACCCCACCCTCAAAGCACAGGAGAACAAGGGCAGGCACAAGAACCCTCCTGCGGCATTTCTGGCAACCATGAAGATGTGCAGGCGAGCTACGCCGGCCTCCCGGGCAAACTGCTGACTACATCGCAGCGGGCTCATCGTCATCAGACCCTGAGCAGGCAGGTCCCCGCAGGACACACCTCACAACAGCACACAGTACCCACAGGTTTCCGTAGTTCTTATTCCTTTCATAGATGGGGTTCCAACGCGGAAAGCAACAGGTCCCACGGTGCGTGGAGGCAGCCCGTGTACTAGCGGTAAAAACACAGACACGGCCCGGGGGTGCTGACCGCGCACCCCCTGACTGAAGAGCTTCGAGCCCTGGGGCGTGGGGAGGGTGGGCGCGGAAGGTGAAGGGGGGCAAGGCCCGGAGGAAGATGCTGGGATCTTCAGCGATGGCTACACGGTTTCATCTCTTTAAAAGGATCTACAGCAAACATGGTGGCCTGCATTGAATGATGCTGCCGGAGCGTAAATAGTAAGTCCACCCCCCCTAGCCCCCCCAGCATGTGACCTCGAGAGTTCAATTAAAGTGAGGTCCTATTGCACTGGGGTGGGCGCCCAACCCAAAGGTGGGTACGCTGGCAGGAGCCCTGGTGTGTGCTGGGTAAAGTGTCAGGCTGCCACGCAGCCCACTCCATGGACGGGGCCCTGTGGACCGACGGACTCTGTCCTGCAGTATCACCAGGGGTCCGATGGGACTCGACCGGCAGTGGGCCTGAGTTTGGGGTTCGTGGCTCTATAAGAAGGCCATGTAAAGGCGGGGGGGTATTTTTGGCCATCAAATCAATTCCAACACAGAACACAGGGTTTTCCCACGCTGTGACCCTCCCGGGGGCAAGCGCCAGGTCTGTTCTGTGCAGTCACTGGTGGGGGCCAAATCATCGGACTACTGGTTACTGGTCGAGTGCTGACCCGTTGGGCAACCAAGGTTCCTTCGAAAAATAAATTAAAAATAAACTCACTGCCCTCAAGCCAATGCCAACTCACAGTGACGTTACAGGACGGGGCAGAACTGCCCCTGTGAGTTTCCAGGGCGGTAACTGCTTATGGCGTAGAAAGCCCCGTCTCCTTCCCAAGGAGCAGCTCGTGGTTTCGAACCGCTGACCTTGTAAGTAGCAGCCCAGTTTGTAACCCCCACACTGCGGGGCCTCCTGCCTGAAGTCCCGAAGACACAAGTAAGCGTGTGGGCGGAAGCAAAGGCAGCCTGGGGGCGCCGTCCGGGAAGCGTGGGGTGGGGATGGGAACGGTGGTGGCTCACCCTAAGAGAGAGGTCTGGGGCTATTTGCGCCCCCCAGGACGTCCAGCCTCAGAAACCTTGTCTCAGAATCCCGGGGAGGGCGGGTGGGGTTTGGATACTCGGAAGAAAACCACGAGGAGACACAGGCAGAGATTGGCGTGCCGCAAACCAAGGGCCGTCAAGGGCCACTGGCACTAGCTAGGCAGAGGCCAGGGCAGGTGATGCTCTCGAACCCACGGGTGCCTGGACTTCAGACTTCCAGCCTCCGGGGTGGGGAGAGTGAATTTCTGTTTCTCCACACCATTGGCTCGCTGGCCGTTTGTTAGGGCGGCCCCCAGGGAGCAATGACTCACAGCAGCCAGGACGTGACAGCGCTCAGAGGTGGGTATGGGAGGGTGTGGATTTTTCTCTTTACTTTTCTGCCGTGCTGACCACGGCCTCGTCATCACAGAGATGGCAGTGAGGTGGGCATGGAGGATGGACGGGGGAGCAGGGGAGAGCTGCCCATGGACTGCTTCCCTGGGTCTCCCCTCTTCCCAGAGTGGAGGAAGAAAGGGGCTTAGGAGAGGAAGGGGCAATGCCCCCCAACATTCTCCAGGGGAGACCCACCCCAGGCCCAGTCAATAGTACAGAACTGGCAGCAGCCATGACCCCCAAGCTCCCACCACCACCAAAGAAAGCAGGCCTCGGGGAGACTGAGAGCGGGGCCTTGGGCTGGTGTGCTCCAGAGAGTGGGGCGCCAGCAGCCTGGGCCACCCAGGGCCCTGCTGACTCTGGAAAGAATTTCCTGAACATGTTGGGGCTCGGGGTGGCCTAGAGAGGACATTATAAACAAGAAGTCAAGCAGGGGCTTCACAGGGCTTCGGGAGCCCAGCCTGGGGCCTGGGGTCGTCCAGGACCAGCAGGTGAAGGGGTGGGAGGGCAGGGAGCTGAACGGGAGGCTGTGGGGAGAGAGGGACAGGCCACCCAGCCCAGAAATTGCAAGGCCCACCCCAGGCTAGGGAGACAACCCTTCTGGGTTGTCTTGGCCCCATTCCTAAAGTGCCTGGCATGGTCCCTGCCCCCACTGGTGCCTCCTCTCCAGGGCTAGGGTGTTTGCAGGGCCAACACCAAAGGGCAGTGGCCAGGCCTCCCAGATTGAGGCTGAGCTCCGCCTTTCCCGCCAATGTCCACTCAGAAGAGGAGGGAGTCGGGACACAGGTGGGTGGAGAGTCACACGGACTCCAGGTGCCCCAGCCATGGGGCTGCAGAGACCTGGTCTGTCGCTGAGGCCAGCCCTGCCCACCTCCAGCCTGACCACAGCTCGATCCTGGCCAGGGCTGAGGAGGAGAGGGGTGGCGGCGCCCTGGGGATGGGAGAGGGGTACTCTGGATGCTGAAGCGGCCGCGGGACTGGACTTAAGGCGTGGAGCGGAGGATCTCAACAGGGCCAGACGCCACAGAGCAGTGGACGCAAGGTAGCTTGGGCGCTCAGGCCGGCGCCAGCGTGAACCGACTCCCCTGGGGCCAGAGAAGGGATACAGAGGGGCCTCTGCCCACACAGACAGACACAGTGCCCCACGGCCACGAGGCCTGGGCCGAGGAGGAAGTGGAGACTGGTGTCGGAGTCCCCCTGCCATCAGAGGGAGGTGGCTGGGCCCAGTGAGGCCTTGGAGGCCAGTGGGCGGCCCTGGGACCCCAGTGTGGCCCTCTCACAGCCTTGGGGACGGACAATGGCGAGATAGCAGAGACAGGAGTGGGAAGGAGCAGAGGGAGAAGGACAAGAAGTCAAAGAGGCACTTGTTCTGCTAAGCGGCCTTTTGTTGTTCAAAGTTGGCCCTGAACGCTGGCCACTGGAGCCCTTAGGCAAGGCTTCGTCTGCCACACCCACCTCCCTGCCAAGAGCCAGTCACCCACAAGGCCGACTGCACACGCCCGATAGGCACGCCCCTGACTCGCCGCCATCTTCCTCCCTCTGTCCCGTCCTGGCAGAGCCCACCCCACCGGACCCTGCCACACCCTCTCTCTGTTGTTCCCTACGCTCTAACCCCCTCCCTCCGCAGCTTCAAAGGGCACCTGTTTCTGGTGCCAAGAGAAGCTCAGACCAGCTGAGCAGCCCACCCCCAGCTCGCAGGAGCCCAGGGCTAGAAGCCAGCGCTGTTCTTCCGACAGGCGGGGCCCACAGGAGCACCCTGACATCCCAGGCCTGGGCCTAGTGCCCAGGCGCGGCTCGAGAGAGGAATTCTGGGTAGGGCACATCCACAGGACCTGGAGCAGCAGAAGCCTGAGAGGGGCCCAGTGGGTGCCCTGGTCTCCCCCGCTCCTCCCATGGGTACCAGGTGCCCAGGGGGCCAAGAACACAGACAGAACCTCTGTCCTGGTGGGTGGGGCTCCCCTGCTGCGGGGTGGGCAGATGAGAACATATGAAACAGCCTGACAGACAGCGCCAGGGGCGGTCAGACCAGAGGGCAAACCAGCAGGGTGAGCTGCAGGGGGGAGGGGGGGGCGCCGGTGAGCATAATTTCCTATCAGGTGGTCAGGGATGGCCGGTGAAGCGGGGAGCCGTGTGGACATCCTGGCAGAGGGGCAGTCGAGACAAGAGGGGCACGGGACAGCAGGGAGGCCGGTGTGACTGATGGGACACATCGGGGAGGAGCAACGACATAAGAGACAGGGAAACCAGATCCCGTGGGGCAGGAAGGCAGTGCCCGAGACTGGAGGCAGTCCCCACATACCCAGGCAGGTCCCAACCTAAGATCCCCAACCCCCTACCTCCACCCTCCACCCTCGAGTCGGGAACGGAACAGAAGGTGGCACGGAGCCCCTCTGCAGGCTGGGAGGAACCCTTCTACCTCTTCCCACCTGCGAGAGGGACAAAGCCCAGCCGACAGGCAGGCGAGACGCCACGGCACCGCCTGGCATCCACGCCCTCCCGGCATCCCTGGGCAGAGCGTGGCAGGGCGCCTGGCGTGTTCCTGCCTGCGCCCACCACGCCCAGGCTCCGTCTGTGTGGGCCTGCACGGGGAGTCCCGACAATGACACCTTATCCCAGCCTGGCATCTTCACAGCCAGGGCTTCCTGAAATCCTTCCCGAGGCTCGCAGCCAGCCAGCTGGCGGGCGCCGAGGGGCCCAGTGACCGACCGTGGAAGGCACAGGCCCTGAGCAACGCCACAGAGGCTGCACAAGACCTCCAGGGCCGGCGCCAGCCACACAGCGGGGCCGGGGACACAGCGGGGCCAGGGGTGGGGTTGCACCCCCTCTTCAAGCAGCGGAGGAGAAGGAGGCAGCAGCCAGAAAGACCTCCCGGAACCAGTGGCCATTCTGCCCCCCACCCTTGTTCCGCACACAGAGAAAGCCCGGTGGTCGGTGGTCAGTTCTGGGGAGAGCGTCGAGCAGCCGGCCGGCCCTGCCACCTCCACCCCCAAGTGGGTGGGCCCTGAGACGTGGGGCATGGCCCCGGAAATAAAGAATGAGGCAGGCCAGGCCAAGCTGGCGGTAGGACAAGCAGACAGTACAAGAGCTGTCAGGCAGGGCCCGCTGGGGCTGAACCCAGTTGGACGGGGGCAGGCCCAGGCCCGGGAGGGGCGGGGACGGCCGAGGAGGAAGCCTTACCTCGGAACTTCTTAGGGGGGTTGTCCAGGTCCCCGGCAGCAGGCTCCACCACGCAGCGGTCATCCACCAGCCTGCAAAAAAGCAGCTGGGTCAGCAGGGGAGAGGAGACTCATCTCCCCATAGCACCCCTCCCTCGGATGAGGGGCACCCCCCATACCAGAGGCTCCCAAAGCACCTTCCTCCGTTGCTGACCAGCCTCACACTCCTGGGTCATTCTGAGGTTAAAGATCTAGTTCTCTCTCTCTCCCTCTCTCTCGGCACCCAGGTGAAATGGGGGGTGGGGGTCCCAAGCACCTTGCACCCCTAGGAAGGGCACAGAGACACACCTCCCCAGCCTCAAGGAACTGGAGCTGCCCCACAGGGGGTGGAGGGGCACAGAGGCAAAGTCAGAGAGAGAGAAAGAGAGTTGCGACCAGGACGGAAACTGAGTCCGAAGGAGGAAGAGAAAGGGGCACAGTGGCAGAAAGAGACTAGAGACAGGGAGAGACGTGGATGAGTGAGATGCCAGCCATGGGGCAAGAGCCGCTGGGTCCCAAAGGCAGGAGAGTGAGCCTCGTCCTGCCCAACCCTCCCACCGGGCACCGCTCCGCCCTTCCACTGGCATCCAGAGAACACCGGCAGTGTCCGAGTACCACCATGCCCCATGGATTCTCAAGTGTGTTTTTCAGAGTAAATCTCTAGCCTTTCTGCGCAGGCGCCCTTGGGTGGGTCAATCGCCACCTTCTGAGCGGCGGTTCTCAACTGGTGGGTCCCAACCCCTTCGGGGGTCGAACAACCCTTTCACGGGGGTTGCCCGTTTCAGAACAGTGGCAAAATGACAGTGACGAAGTAGTAACGAAAATAATGTGATAGTTGGGGGGTCACCACCACGTGAGGAGCTGTATGAAAGGGCCGCGGCCTGAGGAAGGTGGAGAACCACTGCTTCGAGGGGCAGTCAAGGGCATGAACTGGCTGCACACACACACACACACACACACACAACCCGCCCCCAGCTCTCAGAGACCCCGCGCGGGGTTCCAGCCTGTCGCCTTCAGAAAGCCGATGATCTGCATGGTTCTCCTGCGCGCAGCTGGTGGACTGAGCGCTCTAGCCACAGCGCCACCAGGCCCCTATGGCCCATTCTGCCTAAAATCCCCTCCCACAGCCACGTCCTAGTCGTTGTTAAATGCCCTTGACTCGGTTCCAACCCAGAGGGACCCTGTGCACAACGGAACCCGGCACTGGCCGGGCCAGCGCCATTCTCGCAACCGTTCTTAGCCTCTCTCCTGCTGCCCCGCTACTTCACCCCGCACGTATCCAAGGGCTGGTCGCTCCTGACACATCCCAAGCATGTGCTTAATCCTGCATCTCTGAAAGGCATTCATTGATCTGTCCGTTCACCCCCGTCCAGCCACGCACCCACCCACCCACCCGTTCCGGTGCTGACAGCTCTTCCGTCTCGCCTCGGGGATGGAGTGGTGATCATCACCACCATTGCAGAGACTAACTTCAGCCCTTCATGCCTGCTGTCTCTGAGTTCTCACCCACTCCCCCGCTCTCTCGGGGCTAGTGATTAGTGACATGTTAGGGAGGGGGACTGAGTTAGTTAATTGTGCCAGCTTGGCCGATAATCACATGTGGGGCTAATTGAAAGGCAGAGGGATAAATGGGTGGTGAGCCTCACCTTTCGAGTTCTCGGGTCTCTTGCTTTGTGATGGTGGCACCAGGGTACAGCTGCCTTAGCAGTTCCCTGCTTCAGCTTGCAAGATTGACTTCCTGCAAGACATCCCCAAGGAGAAGCCACATGGACCTATCCCAATGCAGCCCTGGGTGCTGGAGCAGCCGTGTGGAGACCCCTGCCAGTGCTGAGATGCTTATCCGTTCACTGACTCAGCTTTCCTCCTGCAGTCGGCATCATTGCCTCTGTTTTGTGAGGTGGAGGACTTTGTGGACTGGTGTTGGGTCAATGGGTTAATGTTGGACTTGTGGGCTTGGGCAGCATTGGGTTGGGATGTTTTCGTGATGCACCTTTTCTTTACATAAAACTCTCTCTTATACATGAGTTGCTGTGGACTTGTTTCTCCTAAAGTACCTAAACTATTACAGGGACTGAGTCAGAAGATGAAGTAACTTATCTGAAGTCACGGAGTGGATTCCAAGCCCCATGTTCCTTCTGCACCTCCCCTCCCTAAGTCGGCCAACAAGGCCTTTCACGATATGGCCTCCACTGGGCCCCCCAGCCTCCCAGTTGCCCTGTCTGCGTCATGCAGAGCCTCCAGCCAATTCCACAGTCCCTAACCTCCTAGGCTCTACAGAGACGATGCGGCAGCCTCGCCGGCCAGTCACACCCTCCCAACCCAGCCTGGCAAGCCTCCATTCATGCCCTGACCCTCGGCTCCTCTCACCCTAGCCCTGCTGCCAGGCCTCTGCAGACTCTGCTTGCTGGGCCACTCGACCTTGGCCCGGGGTCTCTCAAGGGCAGCCTGAGAGAGGTGCCTGCAGACCGGGACCGCTGCCCACTGTTGGGGGGCACGTGACGGGGCCCCACCCCTTCTCCACGTGCTGAAGACGCTGTTCCCAGCAGTGCCTGCATGGGTGTGGCTCCTGCTCTCAGTGACCCCTGGCCTTGGCTCCACACCTTCCTGAGCTAACCCTCAGCCCCCTCTGGGTCTCCCTCCCTGTGTTCCGGGAGAACCTGGTACTGGCCTCTCCGGCAGCCACCCACGTCTCCTCCCACTGCCATCCCTGTGCCCGCACCGTCCCTCTGAGCACCAAGACATCGCTCTGAGGACCAAGGTGGGCCGGGCATTTTCTATGGCCTCCTATGCGTGTGGAAGTGAAACAGTGAATTAGCACGAGCTACGGAAACCCGGAGCCTCTAATTGCATGTTGGTGAATACTACTGGACACACCACGGACCGCCGGTATCGTTGACGGGGCGCACAGAAAACGTAGGGGTCGGAAGCTCTGCTTTCGGTGGCAGATTTGGGGACCGACGAGATGGCCAGAAGCTGCCCAGCAACGACCCATGTTGCAGATTAAGGAAATGGATAAGGGAGATAAGGCTGTGGAGGAGGAACAGAAAGCAGTAGCACCGGACACGTGGCCCCTGGGCCACAGGCGGAATGAAGGAATGTGGCCCCCAAAGAAGCTGTTCTTTGTGACGAAGGCCATGGTGAGCCTCGGTCCCACTCCTGCTGAAGCGCCTGGATTCCCTGCTACAAGATCTCTCGCCACCGATCGTCGGCAGGCAGTGCTGTCCGGAGCCTGCTGTGCACTGAAGAGTCAACTTGCGTACCAAGGAATCAGGAAGAGAAAGCGGTCTCTTTCTTTGTCCTCTCTCGCCCATTCCTATCTCAGCCGGGAGGGGGGCCGGAGCCACCCAGAGCTGCTGGTCCGCCCGGAACAATGCCCCTGCGACGACGCAGGGAATGCGAGACATCCTCGCACACGCTCCAGGTATGTTAACACGAGGAACCAGTCCCTGGCAAAGGGCGTCATGCTAGGTAAAGTGGAGGGGCAGAGAAAAAGAAAGCCCCTCCGTGACATGGGAGCGGCACAGCGGCTGCCTCAGTGGGCTCAGACTTAGGGACAACATGAGGATGGCGCAGGACGGGAAGGCCTCTCATCCTGTTGGGCACGGGGTCGCCCTGAGCCAGAACCAGCCCCCTGGCACCCAGCACTGAGCCTCAGGAGGACAGGACTCTGCGTCAGCCTTCAGGACCAGCAGCCTTTGCACGGTGCCTCCTCCATCGTCGGCACAGCCAGCACCATTCGGTGTCTAATGCTTTACGTATAAAATCGTTCACTTTGCTACATCCCTTTACTTTGTGTTCGTCCCATTTGGCGGGCAGGGAGGACAGGCGACCGAGAGGCAAAGCAGTCTGGCCACGGGCACCTGCCGGCAAGCGGCAGAGCTGGGCTTTGCCCCCAGGCTGTCCAGCGTTAAAGCGGGGGCTCTGGACCACACAGTGGTCAGGAGGGGCCCGAGGGGGGGTTGCTCTGTGAGGCTCGCCGGCCCCTCCACCCAGTCTCGTTTCCTCTCCCCAGCCTCCAGCTCAGTCCTGGCACCTCTTCCCTGCTGCGTCTCATGTCCTAGGTCACCGCAGCCACACGCATGAGTTCCAGTCATCGATTGGCCACTCTGTGATGACGCCCCCCGGGCTCCAGACGCTGAGACCTGAACGCCTACTCACCGTCTCCACTTGGAGGTCCACAGCGATCCCGACTCAACATGCCCCAACAGTGCTCCTGGCCTCCCCCCTAAGCGCACCTCCCTGCAGGTCCTGCCCATCTCCAGCCTTCCCCTTGCTAAGGCCCTGCCTGGGGGTAGGTGCCCTGGTGGCCGAGCGGGTTACGTGTTGGGCTGCTAACTGTGAAGTAGGCAGTTCAAAACTACCATGCTCCATGGGAGAAGGATGAGGTTTTCTACCTTGAATCTGCTCCATCCAGGCACACAGCATCCTTCATAGGCCCACGAACCAGGCTGTACCTCAAACTCACCTGTAGCCCTTGGACTTAAGCTTAAAACTCCCTAATGTTTTCAAGAAGCAGGTGACTGCTGTCCTGTGGTTGTGGAATTGGTGGTCCTTGGATTTGCATTCAGATCTCTTTCCCTTGAGGGTGCCCGAGATGACCACAGACTTACAAGGTCCGTGCCCGCCTGGCTTTATTGTGATGTGTATCAATCTGGTAGGCACAGTTCTGCCCGTGCAGGTGAATGCTATGAACACTTTGCCCGATCACCAACCCCCACTGTCTGTGTCAATAGGGCCCAGCCAGCCACTTACGAGCTTAATCGGTGCATGTTAACAATTCATGGATTTCAGTTCACAGCTAGCCTATAGTTTATCATTTCCTTTTCTCAATAGTGTTTTTTTAAATATATACCATTGGCTAAATTAGTGACATTACCAATATGCCCCAGGGGGATGATCGACAATGTTCTCTGTCCTCAAATCACAATGATGCCTCTAAAGTGAACCAGAGATGTGTGCCAACCATGGATAAATTCATGTACTGGGGGATCGCACTTAATTCTAGTCCCAATCTCAGAAAACTTTGTTCTGATGGCAGGGCTCTGTTTAACGCA